ATAGAGTGAGTAACCCTGAAAAAACACTGTCCTGTTTGTAGAAGCTTTGAGGAACTCACCTTATACTCGTGCACGTGTAGACGTGTGAAAATACTTAGGACCCATATTCAAACTTCTGAGGCATTAAATGATGGGCAAGCGTATCAAAAGAAACGGGCCGGTCAATCTAGTCAAATGCTCCTCGGAAATCCAAGAATACTATAATGGTGAGACACTTGTGAGTATGGCGTCTTTTTGCTACCAGAGAGGTGTGATTATTAGGCCAGCGCAACTCCAGTACGCCAGGACAATACTTTCCGCCGTCGACTCAGTGTCTCACGAGCCAGTGCAAGGTGACGAAGCATCGGTTACGCAAAAAGTCTCGAGATGATTAGGGTCAAACTGATCTCTTTGTGGTTGACGCACTCATTACGATCTATTAATGTGAAATTGAACGATATCACCAACTCTCCTCAATTGCCTCGGACAGACTCCTTTTCCCAAATCCAAAGTTCCTCAAGTTTGGAACTTGCGAAGACGAGGGAATGAGATGAGATCAGTAAAACCAACAGATAAGACAACTAGCATCATTAGCGAGAACAAGTTTTACGTTTCCCGTGACAAGTGGTTGAATGTGACATGATAGGGGTGTATTCGTGCTTGGTAGACTGCCGGTGAAGCAGGGGTCGGGTTTGCTAACATGTGATAGTAAAGTACAACCAGTCTAGAACAAACCGGCATGAGCACATGGAGAAGTGGTGTAGTGGGGGTACCAAACGCATTAGAAATGATGATGATGGCCAAGTTGATCTGTAATTTGTTACTTGAGTTGGAAAGTACCATAACCTAGGAGAGAAAGCAAACATAAAAGAACAGATAAACCATTCCAAATCAACGCTGCCAGCATTAATTTACAGGTAGTGCATGGCGAAAAAAGCTTTTTGGAGGAATAAATATCGTATATATTTGCATATATAAAACAACAACGTTACCACAGCGGTCTTCGTTGCCTTGGACTGTTGGACTCATGGTCAGGGCCACAAAAATTTAAGTGGGGATGGTGAGGTTGATGGATTAGCAAAGCGGGTGGACGGTAACAGGAATCACAGAAACACGGTATACAGTGAAACTGTAGTGACCCACCGTTGTTTCTCTTTCGGAGTCCGGCATATAAGGCTGTTGGAAGAGCGAGGTGATGGCAAAGTGCGAGCCGGAACACAGACCGTGTGGAAAGCTATTGAATTTGGTGAGAGGCAAAGAAACACAAAGATGGATAAATTCGAACGAATGGTTGAACAGGTTGAAATGAATATGTCATGGAGGCAGCTGTGATCAGGTGGGGAATTTGTCGTACTTGCAGGTAGTGGAACAAGCGGGTGAGAGGGCACGGTCGAGAGCAGGAATGGAATAGCTGCGTGTGTGTTACTTGATGTTGAAGTCGTACCCTAGAAGTAGAACAGCCCATCGCTTGAGGCATTTGGCTTTGTATATCGGGATTCCCTCGTTTGAGCCGAACGCCGTGAGGAGCAGCGTCATATCGATCAGCAAGGTAAACTCACCACTGCAGAGCATTTATAGAAAATTTTTGCGGCAATGAGTATCACAGAAGCCTCCTTTCTATCCGACCGCAGTTGCGCTCGGCTGATGTCGAGCGTTCGGGCACAGGTGCAAGGGCTTCCCACCAGCTGTCATGCGAAATCACCACGCTACGAGCTTTAGTTATGACTTCAAATGAGTGAAAAGCAAGCCGGGTCTCATGGTGGTTGGGCAGAGTCAAAAGCGCTTTGGCAGTCATCTAATCACGTCCGCCTGTGGTCTCCGGTGGGCGGCTTGTTCAGTGGCCATTGAAGGCAATGCACTGCAGGCGGAAAAAAGTGTAGTGACTGATGAAACCGAGAAAGGACCTAAGGGATTTCACGTCTGTGGGCGTTGACATACGTCTGATAATTATGGTGTTTTGCGGCCCTGATCGGCGACCATGTTCGTCACCGACCTCACAAGGATGGCGCCCATTTACCACCGCACTCCGAAGCTATTCTCTTAAATACGACCTAGCCCATAGTCAAGGCACTGCCGCACTTCGTTAGAGTTGAAGTTCATGGTGATTAAACCGTTCAAATAAAGGGTATTGTGGGGCGCATACCTCAGTATCGTATCCATGATCTTTTGAAATATGACTGGATACCAAACAGTAGTCCGGTAATGTGGAACAGACCATGGTGCCTATCGATGAATAATGATTCTCGGGATCCCTGCTCGACTTCAAACGAAAAAGTTCCAAATAACTTGCCACTCCTTCTTCTAGTCAAATTTGTTCCAAAGTTCAAAATTCTCATTCGGGTGAACGTCCGATATCTACGGAAAACTTCAGCTCAAGAATCTGAGTACAACGGATGGTTTTCAGCAATCTGTTAAACCACGTCTAGTTGCGCGCAAAACTCCAACAGCCACATCTTCCAGATGGAGGTTTATCTACTAGTGCGGTGCTGACAATGCAACAATAAGATAAAAAATTTCACAGACCTCGAATCTTGGGACCATTCCGGCTTATATTCACCGGTTTAGGAACTACTAATTACCAGCGGATCTCAAAGTCCGCTCCGACCCAAAGCCACGTGTTTACAAGGTGGCGAAACCACGTGTAAACTTAAACAGCACGTCCGATAACAAAGTAAAAGAACGGTTGATATTCAGGTCAAAAACAAGAAAGTTGGTATAGGCGCAAAACCAAAATAACAAAAAAGGGGGAATCGCGTTGTACAACAAAAAATAGAAGAAAGTAATCAGCAGTCGAAATGTTTTGATGCTGAGGAGAAATTAAGCTTGAATGAGTTGGATAACAAGAGGGCGCAGTGACAACAGTTCACTAGGATCCATTCTCCACCCGCGTTTGAGGGACAGAAAAGGAGAACCGACAAATGACCCAACAGTGGTATCTGAAGTTTACAGAGAACACTATGCGTGTCTATACTATACT